TGCTCTTGTTTCGAATGAAATCTCCTTTCAGGAGTGCAAGGACCGCCACAATCCTACGACCTGCGCCAACTACGTGAACTGGGGCTGGTGCACCTCAACTGATCCTGGCAGAATTGGTCTTGCGAAAGCTAACTGCAAAAAAACATGTAATCTTTGTTGAAAGCAACATGTCACTAATAAAAATTCACAATATAAGTTTAAAATGCTAGCGAACTTACTAGCGAAACCTCTAACAGCATTACTTTTCGAGTCCACTACCATAAACTTGGTTAGGTTTTGAATGTTTCCATGAAAAGAGAGGAGTCGACTGCGAATACGTCGTCTATGTACCTTGTAGAAAACTATTCCACCGGTTAACGACGTTTGTTCCAAATAGCCCAGATATACAATTGCTAGCAGTGGAGCTATTCTTGATCCAATTGCCAACCGCGATTTTGAGCACAAAATTGGGAATCGGTTTGGCAATAGGATTAAGTATAGCTTCACTGCTAGCAATTGTATCAGTTGGAAAGAAAGTTCTGCAACACTCTTTCTAAAATTTTCTTTTTTTCTGAAAAATTCATAGGTAACATTTATGACTAAATGGTAGAGCATTCTCGAGGCTTCAATCCACGAGGTGGATATAAGTGCTGCAGTCAGTAGTTATCCAAGAAAATTCAAAAAACCTCGACCACTAGTAAATCCATACTCCGAGTCACTGTCTAGTACAAATGTCTCCATAACTATGGATTCGTGTCAACGACCACACTATCTGCAATAGCTTCAATAGGCATGCCGTTCACCGCTACAGCGTGTTTCACCTTTACCAGCGCTTTCGATCTTTTGATATTTTTATAAGAAGCCAGCAGCGTCCTACACACTCCATTACAGGTAGGGCTCTTAGAAAGCTCCACTACAAATTCTTCGTTATGGGCACCATTGTGTAGGTAGAGGTCTAGGCTGCGGAACTCCAGAAGCTGGCCGAGGCAGCTCGTCAGGAGCCCTCGTACCGCGACAATATTTATTTCTTTCATGACATTGCGAATCACCATGATCCGAAATGAGCCCGGTAAGAAATTCTGGAGCTGCGGCAAGATTTCTTACCTCTCTTAGCGTATTCCCCTGGTCGAGCTATAAATGACTGCCACCTATCCTGGACCTTAATCATCATCTTGATGACGAAATAATTAGACGATCAACTCCAACTCGAAAGTGAGGTCGCCTCCTTTCTCGACCCACTCCGCTGGGTTTTGGCAAAGGAGCATCAAGAAATTTTCTGAGCGTTGAAGACAAGTGGTGGACACTCATGGTAGATATAAGACCGGTCAGGAGTTGTAAACAAAAAAGATAAAATTAAAATCAAAAATTGAAAAAGTGTTGCAGGACTTTCTTTCCAACCTAATATATTTGGAAACGGCTGGAACGGCAGTAGCGCTACTTGCCGCTGATTCCTCCTTGCGCATCTAGAACTGCTATTGTTTACTTGGGATATGTAGGTACGGTATGAGGAGCCACATGGAAATCCGTATTAGAGTGGGAATGTCGTACTAACGCGACCATACCCTCGACCGTTTTCACTCTGATGGCTGGTATCTGAAAATCACTGATGTCTTATTCACTCTGGCCTGCGTTTGACGATTTATCGCAAAAGGAATTGGATGAGGTCCCTAGAGCTTCTGCTCTGTTTTCTTTTTCTAAACCAAGGAAACATTAAAACAAAAAGCAAGCACCTGATGCGATATTCCATAAAGGCCATTAGTATAGGCAAACACGTGAGCTAGAAAACATGAGAACTCACTTTAATAAAACATAATAGGTGTCATCCAGGAAAAAGTGTTTCACAGCGGGGCAGTGCACTCGAATAATCTGGAACAGGGAAGTTAAAGGTAGGTTCCAAAAAAATTGGTAGTATTCTTCTTACCTGGCCTCTTATAGGATGTAACAGTTTGTCGTCTACCAAGTTCTTGGCCTCGAGACCAGTGCAGTTCACTATGCAGGTGAAGTCATTCATGAGTTCATTTAAGCTTTTTACACGTCTGCGAAAAATTTTCCCTCCATTGATTAGGAACCTGAAAATATGGGTGAATAATGTGAATTTTAAAATTTATTTAGCTTTTGTTTACAATGAAGCACAGGAATATAATGAATAATCAATTGAAACACAAAATGACAATAGTAAAAGTGAAAAAAATGTAGTACATGGATGATAATGACAGAAATTATGAATTAGGAGCACGTCTCATAAGATAAAAGGCATAAGATGTCAAAGAGGGCCTGCTCCAGCGGTCATGGAGGTGGGAGAAGGAGTTGGGAACGGTGGAGCTATGCGGAGGGAAGGGCAGTGGCCGGCCAACACTGCAAGCCGTTAGCTGAGATGTGACTCCGGATACCAACGCAGTAGGTCCGCCAACCCTCCGAGGTCCACATGACGACTGTAGCGGGGTGGCAGGGGCTCAGAGGGTCAAGGAAGCTCATGTATCAATGCCGAGAGTGGAAAATACAAAGAGAGTTTACTAGAATGAAATACACTGCCTTATAGTTAGTTACACTTATGTGATGAGATCAGGGAAGAAAGAGAGATATGATGTAGAATATTGGAAGGCCAAATGTAGGAGCGGTTTATTGCTGAGGTGTAGCTAAGAAGCATTTTGAAGTAGTATATAAGTGATCAGCAACTTTTTGAGAATCTTCTTGTTCGAAAAGGCAATGGTTGATCGCGCATGCCAAAACAACAGGCACACG